AGTGCAACGTCTCCGTGTAGAGAGAGAGAGAGAGAGAGAGAGAGAGAGAGAGAGAGGGAGAGAGAGAGACTAGAAAATACTAATTAAATGTAACTAAATAGAATAGATACCTCATAACCTTTCAGCGACGGGCCAACTAACACAACAGGCCTCATGGATGGCACTACGTCATAAGGAGGAACATGTTCCGTCTGAAAGAAGAAAATGTCCCATCAGCACATAACCTAAAACAGACTCAGCATGCAAACTGTAGAAACTATGTAGCAAAATATACTTACCACTTTTTGTTTCTGTTTTGCTAAAAGACCAAAAACAAGAACTTTATTAACATGCATACTGCACATAATGCAATAGTCACAAGATTTGCAAACAAAGATCACTCTGTCAATGCACTTATTATTTGTATTTCTGCATCTCCTTTCTGATCAGTATTAGTCACTACCCTTCTGAAGGAGTCTGCCAGCTTTTCTGGTTCTTTTCTCCAGCTCTCTACATGACTGATACATTTAGAAGCAAATATTTTTTTCTTCTCCAATTATTTTGGGGAAGGTTTGAACAAATAAGCATTTATCTATGGGATATTTTTATAAATTAGTAATAAGAGGGTGTGGAGAAGCCCTTTATTTTATTTTATTTTATTTGCTACGTTTAAGGTAAGTTTAAGAAACAGTAATAGTTTTCCTTATATAAAATCCAAAATTCACCTGTGGAAGTGGGTGTAGCTCTAAATGTGCCAGACACCATTTCTCCAAGACTCGAAGAAGAATTTCCACTTGATTTCCTACAGCATTACAAAGAATGCCCATTAACACAAAGTATTCTGAGAGTGAACTCACAAGGCCCTGCAGCTCCTATTCCAGCCTCAGAGATGCTGCACTGCTGCCCCAGGGCCTGCCTAGAGGTTGGGAGGAGGAGAAATTACAACCCACATGCCTCTGCTTAATTCACCACACAGTCATATGATCAGAGAAGGGTGAGTTCCATCACTTGGCCCCAGTGATACAAAAGGGATTCACGTACACAGATTCCCATAATCTGATATTCTCTTTTACTGTGCATCCGTCCCAGTTAGGTACCTCTCTCTCCAAACATCAAGGCACAAGGACTAACACTCACCTATTTCAAGATGTAAAAGCAATTTGGATAAATCAGAGTTGATGTTGTTCAATTATTCTAGAAACATTTCCCCAGATAATTTACTCTTGAAATGATTCCTGAGCTTGATTAAGTAAATTAGTATGGCAATTCCCTGCCATTACTTTATAGACTAAATTATGCTCCTCACTTTTGCCATCTATTATGGCTAGATTCAATCATCTCACCTTTCTTTCCTTTACAATGAAGTACCATTATCTGCATGCACCCTCTCATCAGTGTTAGTAGGAGTTCCATGATTAAAGTAAGTCTGTTGTTTGGGTATTTAGCCAGTGGATGGTGACATGTTCACACACAGTAGGCAGGCCTCACAGTGATTAACTGTCAGAGCTGTGGCTCTCCAGCCTGTACTCAAGCCTGTGTTAACTAAGGGTATGTCTTCACTACCCACCGGATCAGTGGGCAGCAATCGATCCAGCAGGGATTGATTTATTGTATCTAGTCTAGAGGCGATAAATCGACCCCCGAGTGCTCTCCCATCGACTCCTGTACTCCACTGCCACAAGAGGCGCAGGCAGAGTCGACAGGAGAGTGGCAGCAGTCGACTCACCGCAGTGAAGACACCACGGTAAGTTGATCTAAGCACGTCGACTTCCGCTACGTTATTCACGTAGCTGAAGTTGCGTAACTTAGATCGATCCTCCCCCCCAGTGTAGACCAGGGCTAAGAGACGTGCACCATTTAGGCCTAGGGGTGGAGAGACGAGGAGGAGACAGGCTGGGGATGAAAGTGGAGAGGCAACCTGAGGTGAGAAGCAGTGGAGCGGCCGGAGTGCAGTCTCTCTTAAAGAAAGGGTTGCAATGAGAAAGGAGTGCTGCAACACTGTCTCTGTGCTGTTCCCAACGTACCAATTTAGTGGTGAGTCAGAATGAAAAGAGTATGAGGCAAAATCTTAGGGCCCATGAGTGATCACTGATTTGATCTAACCCTGCATGGGCTCAGACTGCTTGTCCTCCAGAACCCTCCACACTTTAGTCCACATCCTGTAGGACTCATTTTTCAAAGTTTATCCCTGTAGTTTTCCTGTCCCTCGGATTCAACATCAGAGACAGTGAGAGATCTAGGATGCCTGCTACTTTCTGCAAACGTGTATATTTTAACTCACTGTCCATTTTGGTATATGAATACAAAACCATTTTTAGACAAGAGGAGACTGAGGAATACATTAAAACAAATCAGCTGAACTTCAAATATTGCCCAGTGTTTGTTGCATTTTGAAATGGCTAAGGACAGTCTTACCCTCCATGGAAACGTCCTCTCTTCTGCTCCTGCTGAATTCGGATATTCTCCAGCCGAAGTGGGCTTGGAATGAAGCCAATCTCACAACCCTCTTTAACCAGCCTTCCTATCCACCAGTCGTTATTATATTTCTGTAACACAGACAGATTATTGTGCCATACTGAGAGCTCTTAAGACTGAAGACTTGTATGTGCCCACAGAACAGGTACAGCCCAAGCTGTGTCAGAACAGGTTTCTCTCTGAACTTTCTCAGCCTTGACATGGTGTGTCAAATTCTGTATTTACTCTCTATGTCCAGGCATGACTTTTCTGCTGACACCATCAACAAATATGCAAACTGGTGCCAAGGGTAATGGTAGATTGGGAGAGTGGTCTACTATCTAACAGCCTAATCACTGGACCATCTTTCCTCTATCTTGACTTCAGTTTATTTGCAGTCATATACCCTAGAAACGGCTAAACCACTTGGATATATTTTTTAATGAAGTTAAGAAATTTTACTTCCAGAGACTTTAATACATTTCTTAAAGCATCATTTTATTGTATTGTTAACTTTTGTTAACATTACATTAATTTAATTGAAAGTTTGGCCCAATCTAAACTACAGTGATATAAAGAGTGATGCCATAAAGACAAAAGATTTGTTGCAACTATCTGGTGACAGGACTTTTTAAGCAAGCTCTTTTGAAGATTTACAATTTGTTCTCCTCGTTTAGGTCCTTGTAAATTGAGCAAATTATTTTTTAGCAATTTTGTAATGTTCTAAAAAATTGCAATGATTTTTTGGCAAGAGCTCTTGGCACCATATTTCAAAAGGAATATTAGTTTTCCTAGGCTAGGTCTACGCCCCGATTCAGGCGGGTAGAAATCGACCTCTCGGGGATCGATTTATCGCGTCCCATCGGGACGCGACAATCGATCCCCTAATCGACGTTCTTACTTCACCAGCGGAGGTGGGAGTAAGCGCTGTCGACAGGAAGCCGCAGAGGTCGATTTTGCCGCGGTCCTCACAGCGGGGTAAGTCGGCTGCGATATGTCGAATTCAGCTACGCTATTCACGTAGCTGAATTTGCGTATCTTAAATCGACTCCCCCCTGTAGTGTAGATGTAGCCCTAGAGAGGTTATACATAATAAAAGCCAGTGCATATCAATCCCATTTAAATACTTTCAGAAAAAATAAATCAAAGATTTGTTTGCAAAATGAGTGAGGAAGAAGCCAAATATATACCCCCATCTCTCTAAATTATCAGTTCCCTGGCCCCAAACTCTCAGGCCCTTAAATTCATTCTTGGGGAACTAAATAAATACATTCTAAAGCTCCTATTTGAAGTCAATGAGATCTGCACAGGCTCAAGACCAATTAAAAAAATCAGACCACTTATTTAGGGGCCCAACTTTAGGCTCTCAAATTTGAAAGTTCAGCCTCAATAACTTCCTAGCAAAAGTATATTTTTTCCTCACCTTCCATACAAGTTTTTCTGTAGTTTGCATTATCCTTTGTTATATACTATTATGATATGCTAGTTTAAGAACATAAGAATGGCCATACTGATCAGACCAATGGTCCATCTAGCCCAGTATCCTGTCTCAGACAATGGTCCATGCCAGAGCTTCAGGGGGAATATACAGAACTGGGAAATTATGGAGTGCTCCACCCATCTTCCACTGTTGGCTTCTGGTAATCAGAAGTTTAGAACGGTCTTGCACGTGGGGTTGCATCCCTGGCCATCTTGATGGACATATGTCTATGAACTTATCCAGTACTTTTTTGAATGCAGTTATACTTTTGGCCATCACAACATCCCATGGCAATGAGTTCCACAGATTAATTGTGCATCATGTGAAATAGAACTCCCTCTTGTTTGTATGAAACCTGCTACCTATTAATTTCATTGGATGACCCCTGGTTTTTGTATACTATTCTATTCACTTTTTCCACACCATTCATGATCTTATAGACCTCTATTATATCATCACTTAGTCATCTCTTTTCTAAGCTGAACAGCCCTAATCTTTTCAGTCTTTCCTCGTATGGAAGCTGTTCCATAGCCTTGATAATCTATGTTGCCATTCTCTGAACCATTTCCAGTTCCACTATTCCCTTTTTGAAATGGAGTGACTGGAACTGGACAGAGTATTCAAGGTGTGAGTGCACCATGGATTTATATAATGATTTTAAGATATTTTCTGTCTTATTTTCTATCCCTCGCTTAATAGTTCCTAACATACTGTTAGCCTTTTTGACTGCTACGTGGAATTATTTTTTTAAATGTGTGTTATTTTGCACGTATCAATGATGAATTTGATCTGCCATTTTGTTGCCCAGTCACCCAGTTTTGTGAGATCCCTCTGTAACTCCTTAGAGTCTGCTTTGGACTTAACTATCTTGCATAATTTGGTATCATCTGCAAATTTTCCCACTTCACTATTCATCCCTTTTTCCTGATCATTAATTAATGTGTTGAACAGCACAGGTCCTTGGGTGACCCTGCTGTTCACCTTTCTCCATTGTGAAAACAAACCATTTATTCCTGTCCTTTGTTTCCTACCTTTCAACCAGTTACCTTCCCTCTTATTCCATGGCTACTTAGTTTGCTTAAGAGCCTTTGGAGAGAGACCTTGTCAAAGGTTTTCTGAAAATCCAAGTACACTGTACTGACTGGATCCCCTACTCCACATGCTTGCTGGCCCTCTCAAAGAACTAGATTAGATTGGAGAGGCATGACTTTCCTTTACAAAAGCCAGGTTGATTCTTCCACTCTTCCCCAACAAATTGTGTTGATCTATGTGTCTGAAAGTTCTGTTCTGTTTTTACCAATTTGCCCAGTACTGAACTTAGGCTCACTGGCCTGTAATTTCCAGGATCTCCTCTGCAGCTCTTTTTAAAAATTAACATTACATTAATTACCTGCCAGTCATCTAGGATAGAGGTGATTTAAATGATAGGTTACATACCAGAGTTAGTAGTTCAGCAATTTCATATTTGAGTTTCTTCAGAACTCTTGGGCAAATACCGTCTGGTCCTGGTGACTTATTACTGTTTAGTTTATCAATTTGTACTAAAACCTCTTCTACTGAGGCATCAATTTGGGACAGTACTTCAGATCTGTCACCCCAAAAATAGCTCTGATGTGCCTGTCTTCCCAACATCCTCTGCAGTGGAGACTGATGCAAAGAATTCATTTCAGAAACTATAAACTGAACTACAAGACGCTACGTCCTGAGAATCTCACAAATAAATCACCAACTAAAGTACCAGACAACCATTTTAAATTGATCTTGTTCCTGGCTGTCCATTTTAGAGTAACATCCACAACTTTTGCCATCTTCAGATGGATTGTTACAGATAAAAACATCTGTGCGGGGAAATGTACAAAGTTCTGCATATATAATGTTTTGCATCAACAATAAAATGGGCTATATATATTAGAATTTGTTTTAGAAATTCATAACATACAATGAAAATATTTGTGTATTCGTAGGAAAAGGGAGAATTGTCATTCTGGTAAATTCCAAGGGATTACAACTCGGAGCTGTTTGGCAAGAGAACATTTCAAAAATCACAGGACTGTAAAGCACAGATGGGAGAACCTCAAAAGGCTCCAAGCCGAAGTGGTATCAGGCCCCTAAAATCAACCCGCAGCATATATGGATGAACCTTGTTTTGCAAGTTCTAGGCCTGCATATATGTGTGCAAAATAACATGTTGCACATGCACATTTTGTGGGTTCACTTTAGGAAACTCAAAGAAAATTTGCAGGAAATATCTTCAACATACAGTAAAAATGATTTTCTCTCCAGTTAGCATTTTAGGATAGTGCCCCTATCCCTTAGCTCCCCTCCCTGCTCTGAGGTCCCATTTCTCTCAGTCTCTCTCCATACATCTACACAATGAGTAGCACTTAGCTTCAGACCCCAGGTCTACTCACTCAAGCTTGCAGGGCTGAAGCTCTAAAAATAGATGTGTAGATGTTGCAGCTTGGGATCTGAAGCATAGGCAGTACCCAGCTCCAGCCAAAGCCGCAACATCTACACAACTATTTTTAGCGCAGTAGCCTGAGCCCCATGAGCCTGAATGTGTTGACCCAGGCTCTGGGACTCACTGCCACTTGTTGTGTAGACGAACCCTATGTCCCAAGGCAGAAAGCTTTCCTACAGATGCTTTTTCTTACTCTCTTATTCTAGGCCCTCTCCCTCTTCTACAGGCCCTCTCTAGGGGGCTACTTGCAGACCTGGCGTAAGCTTGTGTAACTCAACTGTTGGGCTCAAGGTGTCCTTTCCCAGGCTATCTACTACCAGTCTCAATCTCACTGCTTTAGTGAAGAACAAAATCTATCTCCATCAAGTTCAAGTGGTTTTAAAATCTACTAAGACATGATTTCCCTTCCATGCATTTAAGACAAGATAATGAATTTGTAGATTCAAATTCATAATAGTAAAAGATACAGCCTCATGGCACTGGAATCCTGATAAGGATGAATGATCCTGGATGTTATTGCTAATCAAACAGATGCTCTGTGTAATGCTGGCTGCTATTCAGCTTTCTCTTTTGTCTTCCATGGCTCAAATCTGACTGCTTAGGTTTTAGTTGTTGGCAGGGCAGAGGAATAATTGCATGCTGTAGTTACCTCTTTAATGTGCAAAAAGTCCTTGGCATCAAAAGAAATGGCAGTGCTTGGGACAGGAACATCTTCATCCAGTGCGCCACAGTAACTCACATTAGTCTTAACTGCAAACGCTACAGGTTTAGACTAGGAACAAAAAAACATGTCACAAGCATATTACAGAAGTGTTCTTGTACTTTTTAGATTCAAGAGTTAGTGTGCTAACTGTGTCAAATTAAAAAATATGTATTTACTAGTCATGCATTGGCAATACGGCCAAATTCAGACCTAATGTAAGCGGACACAACTCCACACAAGTCAATGGAGTTGTGCTTGCTTACATCAGGTCCAAATTTGAGCCATGTGATTTACTACAAAAGAGAATTGATCCATCAGTAGCAATCCCCTTGTAGGATAATTCAAAGGAAGGTAATTCCTCCCTCCACAATGCACACAGTGCAAGAAAATTCTTCCTTTGCAGAGACTGTTGTGTGTCCTAAGGCATGAGATGTGATGGAAGATCCTACATAAGATGTAGGCTACAAAGTACTCTAGAAAACTATAGAGTTCCAAGGCTTGGTTGATTCCTGCTGGTGTAAAATGGGCTGTATGCGCTGAGTAGCAGAAAATTTGTGAGGAACACAGCATCACAAGGTGCCTATAAAAACCTTTCTGCTGGGTGGCCAAGAGTTGCCTAAAACTTCCTCAAAAGTAGGTGAAGCTGATCAAGACAGTGGGGTGGCCAGAGCAACAGGGAGACATGCTGATTCAGACCTATGGAAAAGTCCTATGGAATTCAATAGGATGAAACTAGGAGGGTTCTACAGAAATGTAATAGGTGTTATATGAATTAATCCAAAAATGTATAGAATTTAATAGAGAACAAGACAGCCTTTCTACGGGCTTTTTTAAACCACCTATAGAAGGGATAGAATTTTCTATTAAATTCAGTAGGACAGTCTAAAACCCCATAGAAAGTGTATCATTCTGAACAAGTCCCGTAAGGTTGGGAGCCTCTCCCAGCAGGGTCCCAACCATTCTCTGAAGTTGGCCTCCATTTGACGAACCCCTGGAAAAGTGTGGCCCTGAAAACACTGCCTGCTTTCCATTGATGGAAAATCCCTCTGGCATGTATCTATCCATACCCCCAATTTATTTTACTGTCACTGAAGTATCTGAATGCCTGACCCCTCTGGCACACCATTTGTCATCTGCAGCCTCTTTCTTCACAGGGTGAATCAAGCAACCAACATTTGAGAAACAAAAAAAGGACTAAATTGCAGCCACTGGGTCAAAATCCTATGTCTGACTATATTGGTACAATGGCAATTGAAATGAATGGAACTCATGTGCATACATTACAGGGCAGTATTTGCTCCATTATATTTACATCCAGTCCATCCACAGCTCATCCATAGGGTGACCAACTGGACCAAATCCAAATTCAAAAGAGTCGAGTACATTGCTGTGAAAATGTGGTAGAAGTCTCTTATGTTGTTCTCCTTTCCTTTCCTTAAGTAAAAGAGCCAAATTCCATTCTCATTTACACATCTAGGACCTACCAACACACACAAGGTTACATGGGTGTGACAGCAGGATTTGGCTTCATGTTTTAAGTAGTATCTTCTTTGTGAAAATATTTGGTATTTCCCCCTCTAGCATCTTGTAGTTGGTTGCCAAGCTATTTTCAAATTATATGATCACCATTATAAACCTGTAGAAAGAATTCTAACACTATGCAAAGGCTGACGTGCCACCAAATGCCATATAACTTTGCTATTATTAAAGCTGAAAAGAAGAACTCACCTTTGCCCTTTCAAGCTGAATAGCTGCTTGCTGTTCTCTCTCCTGGCGAATTGCTTCTCTGTCCTCTTCCAAAGATACATCAGAATCTGATGGTCTGCTTGTGTATGAATCTGCTGATCCCTAAAAAGAAGAACACATCGTTAAGAAAATATTATACTACTTAGAAGAATCCAAGCCAAATTCACAAAACATTGCTCAAGTGTTTATTTCCTGAATTTTGTTATGTAGATGTTGTGTTTTATTTCGGATAGGAAATTGTACAGGATATAGCTAGGAATTTAAGTAGTTTTATAATTTTTATTTTTCTGCAAAACACAAAATTCCAAAGGAAATCTCTCTCTTTCTCAGAACTTGTGCAATATCTTAGTCTCTTTTATGGGTATGCATCATAAGGCAATCGGCACTGGGAACAGCAAACAACCTATTACAAGATTTAAATCCTGTTTGATAGCCTTGGATTAAAGATCAGCTCTCCGTTGAAGGTTACATCACATCAGATAAAATCAGATTATTAGATGTCTCAGTTAAAATCTCTTCTCTATGTAAATATATTACTGATATATAAATACTTTACTCAGTACCCAGCAGCACTCACACAAAGAATTATTCTATGCATCATACCTAAACACAAATGTATGTGAATCAAGAAGCAAAAGTGGCCAAATGCCAGAACATACTATTTAAAAAGTTATTTGACAATGGAACACATAAATCCAAATGCATACTATGCAATATCATGAGATAGGGATGATATATGAACCAGAAGGGATATACATCAGTCTGCAAGGGGAAGAAATAGGATATACTGTACAGTAAGATGTCTCGTTCAAGTCACCATTCAGGACGGGTGGCACAATCTAAAACCAGTAGTCTTTTTACACTCCCCTTTATAACAAACAACTTGACACTGAGGTCCTGATTCTGCAATTAGATTGGCACAAATGTACCTTCATGCCTGCATGGATCCAATTGCAGGATAGGGGCCCGATTTTGTAAGAAAGACAAAAGAATGTACAAAGTATCTGAAAATATTATTAATCTAAAAACCAAAATAGACCCCGGATGCCTAGCAAAATTAGAGCTCAATTCTACTTGCATGACTCTTAATTCGAATGAAGATGTGCCTCATTTCTAAAAATGGTGTTAAAAAGGCATGTTAATTTTTTTTTTTGTAGTGGCCAGATCCTGCAAAATGCTACGCATGCTAAACTCTAGGATTTGATCCTCTAGTCTAAGTAAATCTCGCATGGCAAGGATATGCACATGGCAGTTCTATTTCCCAAACGGAAGAATGTCTATTTTTATACTTGTTTAGGTGAGTAATGCCTTTGCTACGAAACTTCCTTCCTCTTTCTGCACTTGATCCTGTGCCCAATGAAATTCCCAATCTTCCACTGACTCCAGTGATTCAGAATCAGATACTATTTGGTTTGGAATTCGATTAATTTGTATTTAGTTTAATTTATCAGCACCCAGCAATAGCGGCGGTTAATTTTATTTCAGTTAGAGATTCTGCATTGTTATGACACACGGTGGGTAGCTTTGCACAATTACAAATTTTTGAGGTTCTGAATTACAAACTCGAATGCAATGGCAATTAATACTTTAAATATCAGCACATAATATATAAAGTTTAGGGTACAAGACCATATGTAAATGGCATAATTTAGTCCCATTAACACATTTTTATATTTACATATTTTGTACATTTATGAGTTCAGAAAAGCACAATGCTAGGACCCTAATTGTACAAACAAAACTATCCTTGCATCCATTATAAAACCCAAGTCAATGGGGCTGCACAAAAGTCTATCCATGCAGATCTCCATGCAGAAGATCTAGTACCGTACAGTAACAATCAAAAGCCCCATAGGATGTAGTACCGTACAGTAACAATCAAAAGCCCCATAGGAACTCTACACCACACTGTTTGTGACCACTGCTGTAAAATATTATAGAATTTTATAAGAGAGAAGCATTAATTAACTGGATCTTCTATATTTAGTGAAGTGTTGGCCAATAAGTACAGCAACACATTTCTAAGTGATCACATTTTCAGTAGCAAACTGAAAAAAATCATCTTCTCATCCAGGAAAGCCATTAACAATCTATTTTTGTCAAATGGATGACTATTTTGTCTCATCACAATTTTTAGAAGAGTTTTAAATTAACTCATGACTCAACCAATTCAGATGCAAGTACATTAAAAAAGCCTTTTAAAAACTGATCTTCACTGCTATGATAAATAGTATCCTATTTATTCTATGGTGATGTCATTTCAGTATATTTTCGTGTCTGAAGCTATTTAACAGCATAACTGTATTTGGCAGTGAGCTTAGACAAGTAAAATAAGTAGAGACTGAGGAGAAATCAACAGTAATTCTCAGAACTCTCATCATAAACTCCACTTAAGTACAGCAGCATTCAGTCAGGTATGCTCTGATGTAAGTATCAGACATACCCAAAGGAATATTCAAAGCTGTGAGATTTAAAGAAACATTGTGATGAAGTTTTGGAACAAAATGATTATAACAACTTAGTTAGACAGGCTGTTCACCCAATATTTTAAGGACATATATTGGTTAGACAGCTAGCTACTTAAGTTAAAAACAAAGCACCAATGGCGTAAAACATATCTGCATCTCTCTCTGTCTGGAAATCACAGCGCTTGTGCAGGGATCCTGTCTACTAAAGTAACACACAGGCTGATAGTCAAAGGCAGACTCTGACTTTGTGCCTGCGTTCTCACACCCACAATAACTGAAACCACAAGTCTAAGAGAGCAAATAATTGTGGGCAAATAAGTGCCCAGAGATTTAAGTACCTGATTGCACCTGCAAATGATTTGGGGCATATTTTATGACAAAGATATTTGCGTATGTGATTGTCAGCAAAAAGTCAAGAAGTTGAGTTTGTAGTATTGCCAACCCCAAGGATTCCAAAATCATGACACTGGAATAAAAATCATGGAATTTTAAAAAATTAGATATTTGGGAGTTTTGATTTGCCTTCTATTTTGAGCTTTTAGGCTTCCCATTTTGTAGCCTCTCTCTGCATCCACAAGGATTCGAAACTTACTTTTGTTTAGATGAAAGCGGAGATTCTCATTTAATCATATGACTCCAGCGGTTGGGGCTTGAGGAGAAACATCAAATACGGCAAGACTCGCAAACAATGTTGTGAGAATTGGCAACACTGCATTATAGGCCTATTTTTGAAAACTAGAGCCAAAAAAAAAGTACTTTGTGGTACTGATTCTCTGTAGCATCTTACTACTTTCCCTCCAGCTTCAGACCTTTCAAAGACCGTATTACGTTGTTTTGAGTATGGAGTGTTTCATGTAGACATGGTTAAGTTGCCATTCCCTCTACTATCACATACAGTGTTCTTTGTAGCCATAGTAATTAACATTCTACAGGATATTGTACTGGTATAGGCCTGAATCATCAGGTGCATCTTATGTTTGCCTGGTGCACTTGGGGAGAAGCCAAGTGGCTTCCCTCCACTTCCCTGCCCCCCTATTGGGGGGTCTACAATTTGTCTCCCAGTGCAATTTAGAGCAGCCTTTAAACCTGCAGAGATCTCTGAAGTGTAGCAAGATCTGGCTGTGCCTCCTTCCATGCCTCTCTCAACTCTGACTCACCTTTTGGAATAGGGTGGGAGGGGATGAGAGGAGCCGACTGTATCCCAGCCAAGGTTTTCTCCAACAACAGACATCCCTAGCTTCTTTTAGCTTTAATCCCCTTTGCCTGAGTGTCACAAAGGGGACTTAGTGGGGCTGAGGATCTGGCCAATAATACACACATCAAACCTTACATTGTATTATCAGCTCTAGCAAGAGGCATTGGCAGTTTTATATTGCTGGACAATAAACCCATTCACTTACTTAAAGGTATATTCTCCGCCTCCCTTTTTTACTCGTTTTCAGTTCCTTAAGTCATACTGATGACAAACCAGAACAAAATCAGTTCTTCATTCTTATTAGCATATATCTAAGGGTGGACTTCTCCAGCCACCTGAAGTTCCTGACAGGGATGTTTTGGCCACAGGCCTTCTCCAAATGGATGAAATTGAACATGCCGCAAGGAGACTATTAAAAACAACAAGGAGTCTGGTGGCACCTTAAAAACCTCACTTCTTCAGATGCATAGAGCGAAAGTTACAGATGCAGGCATTATATACTGACACATGGAGAGCAGGGAGTTACTTCACAAGTGGAGAACCAGTGTTGACAGGGCCAATTCAATCAGGGTGGATGTAGTCCACTCCTAATAATAGATGAGGTGGTGTCAATTCCAGGAGAGGAAAAGCTGCTTCTGTAATGAGCCAGCCACTCCCAGTCCCTATTCAAGCCCAAATTAATGGTGTTAAATTTGCAAATGAATTTTAGTTCTGCTGTTTCTCTTTGAAGTCTGTTTCTGAAGTTTTTTTGTTCAATGATCGTGACTTTTAAATCTGTAATAGAATAACCAGGGAGATTGAAGTGTTCACTTACTGGCTTTTGTATGTTACCATTCCTGATGTCTGATTTGTGTCCATTTATTCTTTTGCGGAGGGACTGTCCGGTTTGGCCAATGTACATGGCAGAGGGGCATTGCTGGCACATGATGGCATATATAACATTAGTAGATGTGCGGGTGAATGAGCCCTTGATGGTGTGGCTGATGTGGCTGGGTCCTCTGATGGTGTCGCCAGAGTAGATATGGGGACAGAGTAGGCAACGAGGTTTGCTACAGGGATTGGTTCCTGGATTGGTGTTTCTGTGGTGTGGTGTGTAGTTGCTGGTGAGTATTTGCTTCAGGTTGGGGGGTTGTCTGTAAGCGAGGACTGGCCTGCCTCCCAAGGTCTGTGAGAGTGAGGGATCATTTTCCAGGATAGGTTGTAGATCGTGGATAATGCGCTGGAGAGGTTTCAGCTGGGGGCTGTATGTGATGACCTGTGGTGTTCTGTTATTGTCCTTGTTGGGTCTGTCCTGTAGTAGGTGATTTCTGGGTACCCGTCTTGCTCTGTCAATGTGTTTCCTCACTTCCCCAGGTGGGTATTGTAGTTTTAAGAATGCATGATAAAGATCTTGTAGGTGTTTGTCTCTGTCTGAGGGGTTGGAGCAAATTCGGTTGTAT